TGTCAACACCTTGCCTTTATTGCACTGGCAGGTTAATTTCGAGATAATACTGGTTGCTTGCTAGTGCTCTGCTCCGTAAGACATCAAGCATTAACAGCAAATACGTATGACTTACGCTCTGTTCAGTTTTATGTTCATCCCAGTTATGCAATTTCTTAACTGCTCTCTTCTAATAATAACGTGGAACTAGATGCACGCGCTTTATCAACCGTCCAGCCATCATCGCATCAATTCAAGTGTCTAATTCACCTGATTTTCTCAGTGAAACAATAACTCAATTAATTTTTGCTTGTTGAAATGAATGTTCGTTTCTCGGAAATAAGTAACAACAGTGTTCGGAAGGGAAGGGCAGGGAAAATGGTATTCTGGGGAAGAGCATTACTCAGTAAAAATGAGAAGAGAAGTGTGATTTGATGAGTGATTTGATTTACATTTGGTCGCAGGCTGTAGTCAATTTATTTGTTTGTGTGATTAAGAGTTGCATTTAAAGGAAATCACCAGGGGGTGGGCATATGATGAAAAGTGATGCGAAAATGGTTGAAACGATGTGTGGAGCTTTTCAAAAAAAGAGAGGAACGAACGCATTATGGTGCTTGTGCACTTAAACGTGCAGCATAAACGGCCACGTTGCACCAGCACTAGATCAGCATCCAGTTGGCTCTTAGTGTCGTCGATCTTTAAGTAAAGCGCTTTTAACGTTTAACTCAACGTTTGCTACTTCTAAACTCAACTTGAAAAAAAATTCTGTTTTTTCTCCATCATCACGTTAACTCAGTCATTCGTTTCACTCTGCTTGCTACGACGACTATCAGTTTATTTCGTCAGTTTTTGGTTGCTTTCATTCTGCGGGAACATTCATTCATCCGTTATATATCTGTGCGGTGTGGTATATTATATTATTTCCAATTTAATAATTCTTCTAGTAAGTAGCAAATGGTAAGAGCTTTACAAGTTTTAGTTTTCATTTGTTAATAACAGTTGACGAATCTTTATTATCATTGTCTCTTGAGAAGATTTTTTGGCGCGTTGGTAACCTTGAATTCAGTTTGAATTTCAATGTCTATTATTTGCGATTGCAGTAGTTAAAACGATAAGAATATGATTAATACTGAATGGTTGATTGCAAAAATTAGTCATTTTATACGATTGGTTGGAATGCTGTTTGTTTCAGTATTACTGTATCCACTTAATTTGATTTATATATGTTGTTGATTTAATTGCATTGCAATGGAAATGGAACTTATTGAGAATGAGTCACATTAATTGAATGAACAACTTATTTACGCGGCAAAGAATTAATTCGTAATTTGAGTTACGATTAATTTGTATGTGTTTGGTGAAGCAATAAGTGTTAGAGCGATAGCAATAGGTGCATTTACTCTGCTCTTTTGCATATTTGTTAGCTAATTTAATTTTCGGTTGATCGACTTTGACAATTTCAAGTATGGTGGCGGCTACTCTCACTCAAATAAATTGTTCATTTATATTCATCTTCTGGAAAAAAACCGCGACAAAAATATATACTGCATTTGTCCGAATGTATCCCCTTCTGAATGAAACTCTGAAAGTTTATGTCCACCTCCGTTAACACTTTCCGCCCCATCAGCGGATCCCTCCCAAAAAGTTTTCTTCAGTGATGCTCTCAGTTTATATATAGGTCCGTAATTTTTTTCCGAAAACTGGTTTGAGATTCTGCTTCAACTTGTCTCGAATGATGAGTTCTTTATTTCATCTGATCCATCTATTCATCATGTAGATTATCACTTTAGTATGAGCAGTTTTTGTTATCAGTTTTATTTCAATGTGTTTTTTTNTTTTTTTAGCGAGCTATTGAAAATATTATCGTTCTTCCGTAGCCTGGAATATCGAATTGTCTAGATTATTGTTTCATGTTCGAAACCGAAAAGTGCACCACTCAGTTTATTGATAAAGTTGATATATTCATTCAAACGACGATAATCATCGAGTCACGTTCAAGCTGTGCTGATTGAGTGAATCGTCATATTCTGCCACTTTTTTCGCTTCTCAAATGAACAGATAAATGAATTTATAACCTACAGAGGTTCACTCGAAATTCTACGCTGTCACCTTAAGACTTATAAATTCATGAAATCTTATTATTCCTGTTTGTCATAATCGACGAATTGCAGACAGAACGTGGTGATTTCGTTTCTGAAAGCGAATAGCGAACGAATGAGAAATCCTAAATGTTGATTAATTAAGTTCATCGAGAGATTTTTGTCATTAACTAGTACAACATTTGTTTCGCATTTACTCGAATCGACTTAGGCTTTGTGGGTGGAGGGCGGGTGGCTGTTATAGCTGTGTGCATGATTCAAATTAAATTCATCCACTGGAAAATGACTTCTCCGAGTGAAAAGTCCCCAGCTCGAAGTTCATTGTTATTGTCGTTGCCGCCTTGACAAGAGTTTATTGCATAGGTACTTTGAGTTGATGATATGTTTGTTTTATGAGTGGAATATGTGGACAGAAACCTTTAAAAACGAATATTGTAAAGTAATCGAGATTAAGTATGTTTTGATTTGTTAACTTAGGCTCAATGCCGTTGTTTTGGTTTCTTTCACATTGTTGCTCTTAACTATCAGTACTACTTTCCATCATCTGATCGTTCCTTTAAGATATTCAGTAATGCAAAATTTGCGTGTCAAACAGTAGCTGTCTTTTCACAAAGTTATGTTCATGAGAAATCGTCTTGCTGATGGTAGTTTGTAAGAATATTTTTGAAAAAGCTGAAGTTAGGTTGCGTTTAAGGTAAGAGACGGGCACATTTTTGTGGTATATACTGAAATGTCGTCATATCATAGTGATGAACACACTTTATACACACTTTGATTTTTGATTAATTAGTATATCGATTTGTTATCGTTTAACATCTTTTATCGACAAGTTTGTGTGTGTGACGATGTGCTAGTAATATTATGTGTGCCTAAAATACCCTGAAGAAACTGCAGGAGGAGTGTTATGCATCTTGAAAGCTTACCGATAACTTCACACTCAATAAATTATTACTTTTAAGTGTTCGATTTTAACAGCGTTGTGTTAATTTGCGCACACATTTTATGTCACTTCTGACACTTCCTGTCAATGATGTTCGAAGAAGTGAAAGCTGCATTCTTCTCCCTTTTTTGCAATATCCTCGCAAAGCAACGTGATCCATGACCAAATTTGATGCTGTGGTTATTTAGGCGATTTGCCAGAAAGTACGGCATTATTTTTAGCAAACAAATAAACGTTGCATTCGTTCACTATCCTTTCATAAACTAATCGAGATCTTCAGTCGTATAATTCGTCTTCGTATCGATTTTAGTTAAGCACCCTTTTGCTTTATCTACTTATTAATAATCACTTACTATCATTGTCGTTCATCGTTATCGTTGCCAGTCACATTTCTTTTCGATTTATAAGGATCGTTTGTTCATCGTCATTTTCGTTTCATTTGATCAGCTTCGGTTGTCACTGCTTCTCATTCAGTCTTCTGCCATTTAGTCCGTTATCTACCGTAGAATTTTAATTTGTTGTTTATTATTCTATTTGTTTAAGCCTTGTGTTCTTCGAATCAGTTTAGTGTGGGTTGTAAATGTCTGCATCTTAAATATTCTGTTTTCTGCATCTGAATTGAACATTTCTTCCACAGCTATGAAATTTTTTAGCATTTTAAATCGAATTTGTACTCAAACTTTAATTCATTTTCCGCTGTTTCGTTCGTTTTGAAATTTACGCCGACGATATTGTTGTTGCATCTGTTTAAAAGATTGTTCACTTTGAATGTTTGCTTGCTGTCTGATGACTTGTTTTGGACCGCTTAGATGGATTTTAAACAAACGAATTTGATTCGAATTGCGAAGATTTATGTATATGGTAAATATGATACGTTCGATCATTGTTCATAGTGCATAATATTTTGCTTCGTATTGTTAATACGTCCATAAATTAATGCGAAAGTATAAGCAGAAAGCGCCTTTATGGCATTTATCTGAATTGAGAGCAGGATCATTTTGGGATAAGATTGAAACGAACTGGATAGGTGAACAAGCAACCTTGAAGTGTCAGGTCATTTTGAGCGCTAACTTCATGAATCGCTAATGTGATAGATTGCCTGATATTGCTAATAATGTGCGCCGTTTGCAGTAGCAATAACAGCCAATATTGTCCAACTATTACTTTGGAGTTGTACCTAGATGCCGAGCCAACAACATTTCCGCTAGCTGTTTTTTGCTAGCAACAATAAATCTTTTATTACTACTAATATTATTAATATGTATATTGAAATCAATATTCTTGAATGACTATCGATTCAGACAATGGTGTTATCAAGAGCGAGATCTGTGAATTTCTAATGATATCACATGATCATCATCGATTCAGTCGTTCATAAAATTTGTTGAAGTGTATTCACATATATCTTAACGTCCTCATCAAAATTACAAATATTGTGTACATAAATAAGTGCAACAATAAGAATAAGCTGTTGCATGTTGCTGCTGGTTCACGGTCACAACTAGTATGCATAGACACGAATTCTTGTGTCAATTATCGACTTACATATTGTCAGACTTCATTTAATTAATGCGACGGCCAGACTATTCAGCAACTAACGCGACTGTTCGAATCGTAGTTGAAGAATAGCTGAAGCCAACCAACTGAATAACGAACGATTTCTGGATGAATTTCTTTTACACCCTCTGATATTCTCGTTCGCACCCTTGCTTCTCTTCATTATTCATATGCCGTCATCAACCATCCACTCATATGTTGAACTTTTTGTTCTTCTCGTTCAAATTATTTCAGTTTTCAGTGCTCAAACTTTTATTGCTGCTCTAAACTATCATCAGCTTCAATCAATTTTTAAATTCATCCCTAATCAACGAATGGTGCATTGAATGAGTGAATAAGATTCAGTATTCACTCTCCTCAATTATTCCGTTAATATCCTCCCAGTGGAGTGAAGTTAAGGAAAAAGAAACAAAAAAGGAAGAATAATGTCTGATGGTGATGATGAAAAGCAAATTATTGAGAATATCTCATCGACGGAATCTTTTGGAGATAAGAGCCACGATAATAATCATATATCATCACATAATTGTCGCGAAACAATACTTGACAAATTCGAGACGTTGGCCAATCAACTGGCAGCTGGTTGGAAATATCATGTCTCACATACGCATGCCATTCGAAATGCTTGGTCGAGTTTCGAAGATTTTTACACGAATATATGCTCATTTGCTAGTATAACACTCACTAATAATAGCAGTGCATCCTCTGATTATTCGTCGTTATTGTCACTACCATCAAATCGATTGATATCAGTTGATAGTGATCAGCAGAGTGAACTTAATGCACTTGTCAATTCGAATAATGGACGAATATCACCGTATTTATGTCAAAAGAAACTCATCGAAAAAGTTGGAGCATTCGTAAGTCAGTTATCGCCGAACTGGAGCTATCATATTGCCAATACGGAAGGTATTGTTGAAGCATGGCAAGATTTCGAGCATTATTTCCTGCATATGTGCACCGTTGATCATGGTAAGTAATAACCACTGTAGCTGACTAATTCATCATCTCTTCTTTTGATTTGCCTTGTTCCTCAAGTGATGTTTAAACTTTGAGATGCACATCAGTTTTGTGGTGTTCATTTGGACAGCTAAAATACTGAGTGTAAAACGCTTGGTTGAGTTTTAAATAGTGCTATTATAAGCATTTTATTATTACTGCTATTACTGTCGTCATTATTGTTGATAGAAATTTATGGAGCACAGTAATTGCCCGAAACTGAGGGATATTCAACATTAAAAATGCGCATTATCCATACGAATAATGTCTTATAGATGAACATAATTCATTGTATTTGTCACTCAACCGAACTATCAATTCATTTTTGCATTTGCGTAAATTGGTTACCCACACTCACACTACAACCTTTAATTCTCTTTTCACAGTTTTGTTGTTCGTTCAGTCTTTGCATGTTCTTTTTTTAATTCAGTCTCTGATACGTGTTCTATCACATGCTTTGTTTATTTACTTGGATTACCTGGATTGGCCAGGCTATCAAACGTCCGTAACGTTACTGGCCATAATACTCGCGTTTCCGTTCGCATCCTTGATTGACGCCACCCCGCTGGCTAGGCGAGCAGGCTAACCGAACACAACCGAGTAATTAATTAGTTGACGTAAATACTTTGCATGATTGAATGTAGCCAAGAACGAATCCAATAAATAACCATAACTCTAGTAGAATAAATATTCCACAGATCGCTCAAATAATCATGACAATAAATATTCCGCTTTGATTATAAATATCAATATTCCGAATTTATCAGTATGCTCTTCTATTATTATCGGTTTATACAAATCATTTATTGTTGACAGAAGGGAGAAAATTTTCGCTGTCATTTCCAAACAAAATTTCAGAAAACTTCTGCGTACATGTTCTTGTTGATTTGAAGTGAGTTTTCAAAACCTCAACAATTCGGTCCGGTCTCCAAGCTTTTTAGACACCGAAAAGATGGGAAAAGGAGAAAGTTTGAAGGAAGAGCGCAATTTTGTGGAACTAACATTGAGTAATGCGGAAGGTATGCTGTAATACCCAAGATTGAAAGGCATTACTTGTGCACACTCTGAACCTTACCTTCCCTCACTGATTTGCATTTCTCGAGAAGAACAGATAGTTGTGAGAATGAGTTCATACTGCTGCTACCGTGTTTCTTATCACTAATATGTGCGTTGTGTGGGTGCTCTATTTTGAAATTCGGTGTTTTGAAAATGACAATCCCTTATCCATTGACAAATTACAGTTTTGTGTCTTTTCAGAGAAACGCTGAGATGTATCAAAGAAGTCTCTTTTTCTAATTCAATTTCTACATGTTCCAGTAATCATTTTATCATGGCTTGAATAAGATTAACTCGTAAAAGTAAGAGATGCAATCACGCAAATTGATTTCAACAACCTAATATCATATAAAAAGACTTTTATGTTCCCTTTTTGTAAAGAAATCATTCTATGTATTATGTATATATATATA